GAGTATTTTCCATTTTAACCCTCCCCCTCCAGAGGATTCCCCCCCCCCCCCCCCTCCTGATCAGGACATTTTTTGTGGTACAGAAGCGCTGTGTTACTTTAACTAACAATTGCGCGGTCATGCAACGCTGCACCTAAATGAAAAATTTATGTCAATTTTTTTCCAGAAATAGAGCTTTCTTTTGGTGGTATTTGATCGCCTGTGCAGTTTTTATTTTTGCGCTATAAACAAAAAATACCGACAAATTTCAAAAAAAAATTATATATTTTTGACTTTTTGCTATTAAAACATTTACAGTAAAAAAAAATTTTAAAAATCAAATTTCATCATAATTTTTGGCAAAAAATGTACTCTGCTCCGTGTTTTTCGCTAAAAAAAATCTCAAAAGGTGTAAATGAATTGGTTTATACGAAAGTTATAGCGTCTTACAAATGGCGGGATATATACTGGGATATTTTTTTTTATACTATTAATGGCGGCGATCAGCGACTTATAGCGGGACTGTGGCGGGCATTCTGACACTAGGGGGGGGAACTGAGTTGGTGTCACTGACATCCTCAGTGACACCAATACAGTAATCAGTGTTAATAAAAAAGCACTGACACTGTACTAATGGCACTGGGCAGGAAGGGGTTAACATGACCATCAAAGGATTACCTGTGTGCTGTGTGTTGGGAGACATGCTGTGTAGAGATACAAAGCAGCATGTCCCTTGCGGGCAGGAGATAGATCTTTATTTTTATTTATATATCTTTATCTATCTAAATAATATTATATATATATATATTTATATATATATATATATAATTATTTTTTTTATATATATATGTATATAAAAAAGCACTATTGATTAGATTAGCTATAGAGTAGATGTGTTTTTTAGCTTAGATATCCTTTAATTTCTTTATTAAATATTTAGATTTATTATTTAATATAAATAATATTTTTAATAATATTTATTATTAACTAGTTGCCGACCGCAGATAGCCGAAGACCGACGGCTGCACTGCGGCCAGCCAGTTCTGGGTGGGACGTCATATGACGTCCTCCCAGAACGCACTCTCCTGCGCGCCCCCCCCAGGGGCGCGCACACCCCCGGCGATCTTTGTGATCACTGTGTCCTAACGGACACAGCTGATCACGTGATGTGGTAAAAGGCCAATCACAGTGGCCTTTTACCACGTGATCAGCGGTGTCCAATGACACGCTGATCACAGGGAAATGCAAGTGCCGGTTCTCGGCTGCACTTTCCTCACGCTGTCAGATCGTGTGGAAAGTACTGCCGAGAACCGGCAGTTGTCAGAGCGAGGATCGGCACCGATCATCAGGGCACTGATGATCAGTTGCCCTGATGATCGGTGCCCAGCAGTGCCACCCGCAAGTTCCGCCCCACCTGTGCCCAGCAGATCATCCACCTGTGCCCAGCAGTGCACCCACCTGTGCAACTCTGCAGTGTCACACACCTGTGCCCAGAAGTGCCACCTACCTGTGCCCAGCAGGTGCCACCCACCTGTGCCTGCCCACCAGTGCCACCCACCTGTGCCCACCCACCAGTGCTGCCCACCAGTGCCACCCACCAGTGCAACCCAGCAGTGCTGCCAGTCAGTGCCACCAGTCAGTGCGCAGCGGTTGTGCCAGTCAGTGCTGCCAGTCAGTGCCCAGCAGTGATGCCAGTCAGTGCCGTCTATCAGTACCCATCATCAGTGTTGCCTATCAGTGCCGCCTATCAGTGCTGCATATTAGTGCCGCCTATCCGTGACACCTCATTAGTGCTGTCTATCAGTGCCGCCTATCCGTGCCACCTCACTAGTACTGCCTATCAGTGCCCTTTAGTGCTGCCTATCAGTGCCGCCTATCAGTGCCCATCAGTGCTGCCTCATCAACGCACATCAGTGAAGGAGAAAAATTACCTGTTTGAAAAATTTTTATAATAGAAACAAAGAAACTTTTTTTTTTTTTTCAAATTTTTTGCATTTTTTTATTTATAGCGCAAAAAGTAAAGCGCCCAGTGGCGATTAAATACCACCAAAAGAAAGCTCTATTTGTGAAAAAAAAATGATCAAAATTTCATATGGGTACAATGTTGCATGACCGCGCAATTGTCAATCAAAGTGCGACAGCACTGAAAGCTGGAATTGGCCTGGTAAGGAAGGGGGTGTAAGTGCCTGGTAGGCAAGGGGTTAATATAAATATATAAATGTATTAATAATATAAATAATATTTTTAATAATTAAATAAAATATTTATTATTTCTATAATCAATAATATTTAATATAGAAAGACCTTATAAAAGAAAATACATTGTATTGCAGAATAATAAAAAGAAAAACAAGCAATGTCACTTATGTAACATTATTTACAGAATATCTGCAATATTTACATATTTCCAGACCCCAAAGGCTTCTGTGAAAGCCACCAATGACATCCAGCACAGATTACCTCTCCGGAGCGCTGCATACCTTCTCCCAGCAAGATACGTATGTCCAGGGGCGGACTGACAACCTCATGGGGCCCCCGGGCAATAGGGGATCGTGGGGCCCCTGTGTCCTTGCCCAAACTCAAAAAAACCTATGAAAAAGGTACCAGGGGCATCTCATGGGGCCCCCTACTGACCCCGGGCCCTCGGGCAGTGCCCTAGTTTCCAAATGGTCAGTCCGCCCCTGGGTATGTCAATAATCTTTTTATATCAACAGATGAGTCTGATTACTTCAGTCATTTGTATCGCTTTTCTTGATTTAAAATGAAGATTATTATTTGGAATGTTTTAGTTATGATCTGAGTCTCCTGCCAAGAAAACGGCGTATGATTCATTCTTTGCTAACCTTGGAACATCAACAAACCTGCTTCACTGCCGTCTCATCATAGCCTGAGCACTCCACTCCCTTCCCGATATGTAACACTTAGATCGGTCAGAATGGCAGCGATCGGTCAGACTGGCATAGGGATCGGTCAGACTGGCAGCGATCGGTCAGACTGGCAGGGATCGGTCAGACTGGCAGCGATCGGTCAGACTGGCAGGGATCGGTCAGACTGGCAGCGATCGGTCAGACTGGCAGGGATCGGTCAGACTGGCAGCGATCGGTCAGACTGGCAGGATCGGTCAGACTGGCAGCGATCGGTCAGACTGGCAGCGATCGGTCAGACTGGCAGCGATCGGTCAGACTGGCAGGGATCGGTCAGACTGGCAGGGATCGGTCAGACTGGCAGCGATCGGTCAGAACTGGCAGCGATCGGTCAGGCTGGCAGCGATCGGTCAGACTCGGTCAGGACTGGCAGCGATCGGTCAGACTGTCAGCGATCGGTCAGACTGGCAGCGATCGGTCAGACTGGCAGCGATCGGTCAGACTGGCAGGGATCGTCAGACTGGCAGCGATCGGTCAGACTGGCAGGGATCGGTCAGACTGGCAGGGATCGGTCAGACTGGCAGCGATCGGTCAGAATGGCAGCGATCGGTCAGAAAGCGATCGGGCAGCAGCGATCGGTCAGACTGGCAGCGATCGGTCAGACTGGCAGGGATCAGTCAGACTGGCAGCGATCGGTCAGACTGGCAGGGATCGGTCAGACTGGCAGTGATCGATGATCAGACTGGCATGGGGACCGGTCAGACTGGCAGGAATCGGTCAGACTGGCAGGGATCGGTCAGACTGGCAGCGATCGGTCAGAGTGGCAGGGATCGGTCAGACTGGCAGTGATCGATCGCTCAGACTGGCAGGGATCGGTCAGAGTGGCAGGGATCGGTCAGACTGGCAGTGATCGCTCAGACTGGCAGGGATCGGTCAGACTGGCAGGGACCGGTCAGACTGGCAGGAATCGGTCAGACTGGCAGGGATCGGTCAGACTGGCAGCGATCGGTCAGAGTGGCAGGGATCGGTCAGACTGGCAGCGATCGGTCAGACTGGCAGCGATCGGTCAGACTGGCAGGGATCGGTCAGAATGGCAGGGATCGGTCAGACTGGCAGCGATCGGTCAGACTGGCAGCGATCGGTCAGAATGGCAGCGATCGGTCAGAATGGCAGCGATTGTGTCGCACGATGTTAGGCTGGTCTATATACAGTACCAGGTATACAGAACTCTTCAGATATCTGCGGGTAATGATCTAGGAATGGCAAGCACTCATCTGGCAAATGGAATCTTCCAGACCCGCCATTCTCAGCCTGGGTCCCTGGAAGCCTAAGGTTCCTCCAGAGGTTACTAGGGTTCCTTTGAGCTGTGGCTGACTGGCCTCCCATCTGATGGTACCTACACAATTCCGAGGCAACCCACTTGGCAGAGCCCAGAGTCATGGCACCAATGATTTTTTTTGGTTGTCCATAAGAGTGGCATTCTGACCATCCTTGCCCCTGGCCATAAACATGAGGAGAGCCGTCTTCCCAATGAATTGATTTTATAAGGGGTCCCCCAAGACCTGAACATTTTTAAAGGGTTCATCTAGAGCAGCCTTTCTCAAACCTTTTAACCACAGAGGAAAACCCTTGAAAAAAACTATTAATTGGTGGCCAGTTGGAAAAATACCCTTTACGCTGGTGAGGAGAATGTCTGCCTCACGGTGTTGGTCAAATGCCACCCCTACAAACAGCTAAAAAGATCATTAGTGTTCATGCCGCTTTCTCTGGCGAGTTGCATTGACCCCAGAACTACACTATGTTGCCCGAAGTATATGGGCCAGCCCTCCAAATCTTGAATTCGGGTGTTCCAATCCCCTCCCAATCATGTGATTCAGGTGTTCCAATCCCCCCCCAATCATGTGATTCAGGTGTTCCAATCCCCTCCCAATCATGTGATTCAGGTGTTCCAATCCCCTCCCAATCATGTGATTCAGGTGTTCCAATCCCCTCCCAATCATGTGATTCAGGTGTTCCAATCCCCTCCCCAATCATGTGATTCAGGTGTTCCAAATCCCCTCCCAATCATGTGATTCAGGTGTTCCAATCCCCTCCCAATCATGTGATTCAGGTGTTCCAATCCCCTCCATATCATGTGATTCAGGTGTGTTCCAATCCCCTCCATATCATGTGATTCAGGTGTTCCAATCCCCTCCATATCATGTGATTCAGGGTGTTCCAATCCCCTCCATATCATGTGATTCAGGTGTTCCAATCCCCTCCATATCATGTGATTCAGGTGTTCCAATCCCCTCCATATCATGTGATTCAGGTGTTCCAATCCCCTCCCAATCATGTGATTCAGGTGTTCCAATCCCCTCCCAATCCCATGTGATTCAGGTGTTCCAATCCCCTCCCAATCATGTGATTCAGGTGTTCCAATCCCCTCCCAATCATGTGATTCAGGTGTTCCAATCCCCTCCCAATCATGTGATTCAGGTGTTCCAATCCCCTCCATATCATGTGATTTAGGTGTTCCAATCCCCTCCATATCATGTGATTCAGGTGTTCCAATCCCCTCCAATCATGTGATTCAGGTGTTCCAATCCCCTCCCAATCATGTGATTCAGGTGTTCCAATCCCCTCCATATCATGTGATTCAGGTGTTCCAATCCCCTCCATATCATGTGATTCAGGTGTTCCAATCCCCTCCCAATCATGTGATTCAGGTGTTCCAATCCCCTCCATATCATGTGATTCAGGTGTTCCAATCCCCTCCATATCATGTGATTCAGGTGTTCCAATCCCTCCCAATCATGTGATTCAGGTGTTCCAATCCCCTCCCAATCATGTGATTCAGGTGTTCCAATCCCCTCCCAATCATGTGATTCAGGTGCTCCAATCCCCTCCATTATCATGTGATTCAGGTGTTCCAATCCCCTCCATATCATGTGATTCAGGTGTTCCAATCCCCTCCCAATCATGTGATTCAGGTGTTCCAATCCCCTCCCAATCATGTGATTCAGGTGTTCCAATCCCCTCCCAATCATGTGATTCAGGTGTTCCAATCTCCTACGCAGAGGTTTAAAAAAAAATTGGCTGTAAAAATGGTGGCCACAGCGAGTGCTGGGAAAGGTCTTTTGTAAGAGAAGATCTGCTCAGTGGTGGTCAGTCTGATGTTCCTCCAGCAATTAACATTTAAAAGAATTTCCTGTTCATACGAAAGAGCGAAAAAAAAAAAAATTAATTTAGCCATTTCTAATCGGCTTTCCTCCTGTTTATTACGCTGTTTCGGATATTTAATCGCCATATACACAAGCCCTGGAATCACAAGACCACCACAAACCTGGGCAGGGCAGGAAAGGGGGGGGGGATCAAGCACCCCCCTGCAGCTTACCAGGCCACATCCCCTCGGCATTGGAACGAGGGCCTCTTCCCCACAACCCTGGCCCGGTGGTTGTGAGGTCTGTGAGCAGGGGGGCTCATTATCATCAGAGTGCCCCTTTAAATGAGGGGGCACCCTGATGCTGCCCCCGCTTGTGAATAAGTAAGGGGTTACCCATTCACTAAAGGGTTCAATTTAGAAAAAATAAAGATGCCGGACTTTTGAAAAATTCCTTTAATTGAAGAAAAAAAACACAAAATAACAGTTTTTGACAAGTCGTTTAATTAAAGAAAAAAAAAAGCCAAAAAAAGCCAAAAAAAAGCGCAGCAGTACAGACTACCCAGCATGCACTGTGCACACAAAATCATGGAAACAACCCGGAAAACCTGCAAAACTGAACTCTCTCAATCCCCATGAACTACTGTGAATCCTCATCCTGCCGGCGTTAGGAAGTAGGTAGGACGGGGGAGCAGATTTACTGGTGTTAAACTTTTTTTTTAATACATTTCTTCAGCTACTTCCTGGTTTCTGGCCTAGGCCACAATGATGTCATCCATCCCAGGAGTCTTCATGGGAGGAGGGGCTTTCTCAGCTAAGCACACCCTCCCTGTCTGCGTGCCTGAGCCAAGGGCAGATGGCTTCCAGGAAGTAAATGTCACCTGAATCATCAGGAGTCTTCATGGGAGGGGGGGCTTTCTCAGCTAAGCACACCCTCCCTGTCTGCGTGCCTGAGCCAAGGGCAGATGGATTCCAGGAAGTAAATGTCACCTGAATCATCAGGAGTCTTCATGGGAGGAGGGGCTTTCTCAGCTAAGCACACCCTCCTGCTTGCATGCCTGAGCCAAGGGCAGATGGATTCCAGGAAGGAAATGTCACCTGAATCATCTGCCCTCACTTAAGATGGCTGCGGCTAGAAATGCTACCAATCAAAGTCTGTTTGCGTTTAGTAGATCAACCCCATAGACGCAGTGCAAACAGACTGAGCACTTTGCAAAGAGCAGTCGCTCCAGAGGTTAGTAAATGAGCAGAAACTCTGCTGACTTCCATCACCCAATCATGTGCCAGCAAAAACGCTGCGCTTCTCATTTTCCTCGCACGTGATTGGGTATTCTTTGCAAAGTGACTCCTTATCTCATCTACCAAGTCCTGGAGCAGCTGCACTTTGCGGAGTGCACGGTCTATTTGCCTTCAGTAAATCCATCTCATAGTCTAGGATTTTTTCCGCACCCAGACGATGAGTTTTGGCTCCTCGCTCCGGCTGCCTTCAGTAAATCAACCCCTATGTGTCAGAGAGGGTACTGCAATCCTGGAAGAGTTACCGCCCCCCAACCCTAGGCAGTGTGTGGTATATTGGTATGAGAGCGCTACAGGTTCATAACAGACCATGTGCCAGTGATGGGGCCCCTGCAGTCCTGGAAGGGTTAATACCCCCCACACTACCCCAGCCCCCAGGCAATGTGTGGTATATGGAGGTCCTGGAAGGGTAAATAATACCCCCCACACTACCCCAGCCCCCAGGCAATGTGTGGTACATGGAGGTCCTGGAAGGGTTAATACCCCCCACACGACCGCAGGCCCCCAGGCAATGTGTGGTACATGGAGGGTCCTGGAAGGGTTAATACCCCCCACACTACCCCAGCCCCCAGGCAATGTGTGATACATGGAGGTCCTGGAAGGGTTAATACCCCCCACACTACCGCAGCCCCCAGGCAATGTGTGGTATATGGAGGTCCTGGAAGGGTTAATACCCCCCCCCACACTACCCCAGCCCCCAGGCAATGTGTGGTACATGGAGGTCCTGGAAGGGTTAATACCCCCCACACTACCGCAGCCCCCAGGCAATGTGTGGTATATGGAGGTCCTGGAAGGGTTAATACCCCCCACACTACCCCAGCCCCCAGGCAATGTGTGGTACATGGAGGTCCTGGAAGGGTTAATACCCCCCTAGGCAGTGTGTGCCCCGTGATATAATTTGACAGCACTGACACCCCAGGCCAGGGGCGGACTGACAACTCATGGGGCCCCCGGGCAATAGGGCATCATGGAGCCCCTATGTCCTCACCCACACTCAAACCACACCCAAAAAAGCCTATGAAAGGTACTTGGGGCATCTCATGGGGACCCCTACTGACCCTGGGCCCTCAGGCAGTGCCCAAGTGCACGATTGGTCAGTCCGCCCCTGCCCCAGGCTCAATACAGACCATATGCCAGTGATGGTGCTCCTGCAGTCCTGGAAGGGTTAATACCCCCCCACACTCCACCCGCCCCCAGGCAGTGTATGATACATGGGAGTCCTGGAAGGGTTAATACCCCCACCCCCAGGCAATGTGTGATACATGGGAGTCCTGGAAGGGTTAATACCCCCACCCCCAGGCAATGTGTGATACATGGGAGTCCTGGAAGGCTTAATATCCCCCCTGTCCCCAGGCAATGTGTGGTACATGGAAGTCCTGAAATGGTTAATACCCCCCACCCCCAGGCAATGTGTGGTACATGGAAGTCCTGGAAGGGTCAATACCCCCCCACCCCCAGGCAATGTGTGCTACATGGAAGTCCTGGAAGGCTTAATATCCCCCCGTCCCCAGGCAATGTGTGGTACATGGAAGTCCTGGAAGAGTTAATACCCCCCTGCCCCCAGGCAATGTGTGATACATGGAAGTCCTGGAAGGGTCAATACCCCCCCCACCCCCAGGCAATGTGTGCTACATGGAAGTCCTGATATCCCCCCTGTCCCCAGGCAATGTGTGCTACATGGAAGTCCTGGAAGAGTTAATACCCCCGCCCCCAGGCAATGTGTGCTACATGGAAGTCCTGGAAGGGTTTAATACCCCCCATCCCCAGGCAATGTGTGGTACATGGGAGTCCTGGAAGGGTTAATACCCCCACCCCCCAGGCAATGTGTGGTACATGGAAGTCCTGGAAGGGTTAATACCCCCCACCCCCCAGGCAATGTGTGCTACATGGAAGTCCTGGAAGGGTTAATACCCCCACCCCCCCAGGCAATGTGTGATACATGGAAGTCCTGGAAGGGTTAATACCCCCCACCCCCAGGCAATGTGTGGTACATGGAAGTCCTGGAAGGGTTAATACCACCCAGGCAATGTGTGCTACATGGAAGTCCTGGAAGGGTTAATACCCCCATTCCCAGGCAATGTGTGATACATGGAAGTCCTGCAAGGAATATTACCCCCACCCCCAGGCAGTGTGTGCTACATGGAAGTCCTGGAAGGATTAATACCCCCAATTCCCAGGCAGTGTGTGCTACATGGAAGTCCTGGAAGGGATTAATACCCCCAATTCCCAGGCAGTGTGTGCTACATGGAAGTCCTGGAAGGGTTAATATTCCCATCCCCAGGCAATGTGTGATACATGGAAGTCCTGGAAGGGTTTTTTACCCCACCCCCAGGCAGTGTGTGTGCTACATGGAAGTCCTGGAAGGGTTAATATCCGCCCCGCCTCCAGGCAATGTGTGGTACATGGAAGTCCTGGAAGTGTTAATATCCCCTCATCCCCAGGCAATGTGTGCTACATGGAAGTCCTGGAAGGGTTAATACCCCCCATTCCCCAGGCAATGTGTGCTACATGGAAGTCCTGGAAGGGTTATTACCCCCCATTCCCAGGCAATGTGTGGTACATGGAAGTCCTGGAAGGGTTATTACCCCCCCCAGGCAATGAGGCAATGTGTGGCACTCATTGATATAACATGGCAGCACCAATGTACCAGCTTCATAATAACTATGTCAGAGTGTCAGAGAGGGTGCTGCAGTCCTGGAAGAGTTAATACCCCCCCCCCCAGGCAGTGCGATAATGCTAGGGTCATAATAGACCATGTGCCCGTGATGGGGCTCCTACAGTCTTGGACAAATTAATACCCCCCCCCCCCCCAGGCAGTGCGATAATGCTAGGGTCATAATAGACCATGTGCCCGTGATGGGGCTCCTACAGTCTTGGACAAATTAATACCCCCCTCTCTAGGCAGAGTATGGTGCATAGAGACAATATGACAGCACTGGCACACCAGGCTGATTATAGACCATTGGTAGTGATGGGGCTCCTGCAGTCTTGGACAAGTTAATACCCCCCCCCCAAGCTGTGTGTGGCACACTGGTATAATAGACCATGGGTAGTGATGGGGCTGCTGCAGTCTTAGAACAGCCCCCCCGCAGAGTGTGGCACATTGATATAACAGACCATGGGTATTGATGGGGCTGCTGCAGTCTTGGAAGAGTTAACCCCCCCCAGGAAGAGTGTGTATTGATGGGGCTGCTGCAGTCTTGGAAGAGTTAACCCCCCCCAGGAAGAGTGTGGTAGTGATGGGTCTGCTGCAGTCTTGGAAGAGTTAACCCCCCCCCAGGAAGAGTGTGGTAGTGGTCTGCTGCAGTCTTGGAAGAGTAACCCCCCCCAGGAAGAGTGTGGTAGTGATGGGTCTGCTGCAGTCTTGGAAGAGTTAACCCCCCCCCCCAGGAAGAGTGTGGTAGTGATGGGTCTGCTGCAGTCTTGGAAGAGTTAACCCCCCCCAGGAAGAGTGTGGTAGTGATGGGTCTGCTGCAGTCTTG